GTAGGTGGGATGTGTTTAGGGAACCCGCCATGTGTCCTTTGTTCTCCATCCTGTGGGGTTCAGGCCCGAGCGTCGTCCTCGTTTAAGGAGGGCCGTTCCCGGGGCAGAGGTCCCGGTTCTGCCACCCTCAGCTGCCCATGCTCCGTTCTCCCAGCTCTCTCTCGAGTTAGGACACAAACCGGGCAGGCTTCACAGAGTGCTGCTGCCCCGGGTGAACCCCACCCAGCCCCTGCCCTAGCCTCAAGACAGGCCGAGACCACCCTGGGGAGGGGGGAAGTCAGAGTGTCAGAAGCTTACCTGGGGAGTGGGAGAATCACAGCAGGAGAGCTGCCCTGAGAGATGACCGCCCCAGATGAGCCTCCAGGCTGCGGATTTGGAGAGGGGAAGGGTGCTCCTAGCATAGGGGAATGGCATGAGTAAAGGCCCAGAGGCACCACAGACCCAGAGGGCTGAAGCTCCAGGAACAGGGAGGGCAACAGGGCCACAGGGCCAGGCCACAAGGGGCCTCAGGTGAAAGCGCAGCCTTGAACCCAAGAAGTCAGGTAGGTGATTAGGTGGGTACTTGGGAAAGCTGACTCTAGGGGACATAGGGCTTGGGTTGGTGAAAGAGGCAGAGTCAGAGACCGAAGCAGCAAGAAGCACGTGGCCAGGCCTGTCCAAGGCTTTGATGCCTCTCTTCCTTTAGTTGGTGAATTAGTTGCCGGTGTTCATCCCCATTCTAGGGCTGAGGACACTGAGGCTCAGGTGTCACCCCAGGTCACATGGGATGTGGATACAGAAGGTGGAGCCAGGACTTAGCCCCAGGCAGAGGCCTCGAACCCCAAGTCCTGCTGCCATAGACCCAGGCCTGCAATGGGCTGGAGGTGTGCTTGGTCGTGCCCAAAAGTGGGGTGTGGTGAGCTGAGGAGGGGCTGGTGGGAAGCCCCCAATGCTGTGGGGGGTCTCCAGGCGTCAGGCCAGCGTCCAGGCCTGTGGGAGCCTGAGGTCCCAGCCCCGCCCCTCAGGCCCTCTTGCGTCCCGCCCTGCCGAGCCTGGCTGACACAAAAACAGATCCGTTGCTGTTCCTGGTGGGGTTTAATTCATCTTCCCAGCTCTGTTTCTCTTCACGTGCCCTCCTTCCTTTCCTTCCCCAGCCTCACCAAGTTCGGTGTTTAAAAATAATCCTCAAATCTCCGAACAGCAGTCCCAGGCTGACCCAAGGGGTGGCCCGCAGAGATGCATGCCTGACTCGTGATTCTGGCCATGGTCAAACGAGCGTTCAGGAACGTCCCACTCTGCCAGTATGTTCTTCCAATTGTGTCAGTTTTGTTGTTGGCCACAGACTACCATCTTAGGCAGTTTACCAATTTTCAGAGAAATAGAACCCGGGAGGATAAGTCTAATCTCTGTGGTAAATGTGCTTTCTCGGGGTCCTCGGGAGGCCTCAGAAGCTTTTTCAGTGCCAGAAGGTAGAGTGAACTTTGCTACTGAGTGGCTGTGTGACCTTGGGCAAGTCACTTCACCTCTCTGAGCCTCAGCTTCCCCCTTCTGAGATGGGAGCTTGGTGATCCACCTCCTCAGGCTGACGTGGGGGTCACCTGAGACAGTGCGGTAAATACCAGGGTTCAGCCTGGCGCACCATGAACTCTGCCAGTGTGAGCCAGCCCAGGTTAGCAGCCCCAGGTTACAGGCAGTGCAGGGCCCCACAGGAGGATAGAGGATGGCGGACGCCCTTCCAGGCCTGTTCTTGGGCTGCCGGAGTGATGTCCCACAGACCTCATTTGTGGGGCCTCTCAGGTGATGGTGCCCAGTGGTGTAACATGCCATCATCATCAGAGCTCACTGAGCTCAGGTCCCCTCCGCACACGCCATCATCATCAGAGCTCCCAGATCCTAGTTCCCTCCACACACACCTTCGTCATCACAGCTCTCCGAGCCCTGGTCCCCTCCGCACACCCATCATCATCACAGCTTTCCGAGCCCAGGTCCCCTCCACACACCCATCGTCATCACAGCTCTCCGAGCCCTGGTCCCCTCCACACAGGTCCCCTCCGCACACCCATCACAGCTCTCCGAGCCCAGGTCCCCTCCACACACCCATCGTCATCACAGCTCCCCGAGCTCAGTTCCCCCTCTGCACACCCCACGGAGGGACCCAAGGTGATGGCTTTGGCCTTGTGAACATCGTGCTATTGAACTCGTGGTCCTGAGGCTGGCTGCCTTGTGGAAGCCTGACTGGGATCACAGCAGCTGGCTGGTCCCCAAGGCCCGGAGAGGTTTCCAAAGTAGCTTTCTGACCTAGCTTGGAATGGGGAGGTTGGCTTCTAAGCTTTGCTGTCTCAGATCATTAGAAATGGAATTTTTACTTAGGTAACTTCTCGTGACGCACAGTGGGTTGTTCTTTCTACTGAGGATTCAGCTTTCAGCTCTGGCCCTGAGCTGCCTCGGGGGCCTGGGGAGTAAGGGCAGCCCCTGCCTCCTCATGCAGAAGCCCCTGACCCCTTCATCCAGAGCTCCCCACACGCCCCTAGGGCTTTTGTCTAGCATACAGACTGCAGCTTTGATTGCACATTGACCCATCTCAGGCCAGACAGGGGGGTTGGGGGCACAGCCAGGCCATGGATGCTGAACAGACCCCCAAGGAAAGCCCAGGCTGGATGTGGGACCAGTGCAACCACAGTGTGCTGTGGCAGGGACACCTGCAGTGTGCAAACCCACATGACCACGGGGTGTGCCTCAGCGCCCAAGGCTGGTGTCCCGCAGGGCTGGAATTCCCACCCCGTCCATGGAACTCCTAAGTCCCAGCCCCCGGCTTCAGGCTGCACACCGTCCTTTCCTAGAACCACATTGTCTCACAGCACATCTGTGTAGTGTGCGTTCATCTCTGGAACCATCCCCCAGGAGCATAAAGGCCTCTCCAGCTGTGGACCCTGGGTCTGGGAAGGCAGAGGTGGGGGTCTGCTCAGCAGATCGGGGGCTGAGGGCCAACCCTGGCCAGGACCCTCATGACCTAGTAGAAGAGGTTCTGGGAAGAATCGCATAACAGGAAACTGCTGGGCACCCTTGCCTGTGCTCCCTGAGGGCAGGGACTCACCTTTTCTGTGTTCCTAGAGCCCATCCCAGGGTCTGACCCCGAGTGCAGGTCAGCAAGTGGGTGTTGAGAGAATGAGTGAATGAATAAATGAATTAACACATGAATGAAGGAAGAGGTGGAAAACTCTAGGCCTCAGCAGCGGAGGGGCAAACTTTTTCCAGCTGATAGAATCATGGCAGGCTTCCTGGAGGAGGTCATACTGGAGCAGCTTTTAAAGTGGTGCAGGATTTGGACTCCTAGGGGTGAAGGGAGGGTACCCCCCAGGGGTGAGCAGCAGCCCCCCCAACATCAGCCAGTACACTCAGGGCTTTGTAGGGAGTTGGAGCAGCAGGAGCAGGGGCCAGGCCTGTGGCTGAGGCAGATCCTCCTCATTCACTCAACAAACCTACCAGCTCTTAGAGCTGAGCCCCAGCCACAGAAGTGGGGCAGCCCCACCCTACGAGGGCCAGAGGAGCTGGAGTCTGGGGACCTGTTTCAACTCTCATTGGGCCTTGGCGTCCCCATCTGTAGAATGGAGCATGGGAGAGGCATCTCAGAGGTCCCATCACTCTCCACTCCCGCGGCTCATTTTCCAGGGCTGATCCATAGGACTCCACAGGAGAAATCCATTCCTGAGCACTCCCGGATGCTTGACCCGGGCTCATCCTCCCAGGGGGGCCTGAAGGAGGCTGGGAGGAGGCCCAGGCTCAGAGCCATTAAGCAGCTTACAGCCCCCGGGGATGAGCAGAGCAGTGGTGGGAGCAGAGAGACCTGTGGGTAGATGGGAGGGGCCCCTCCCCAGAGGAAGAGATGAGTAAGCTTGAGTAAGCTTAGTGTTAGGGGCCTGCGTTCTAGTGGCATTTTACAATCCTGACAGTCCCTTCCCTTGTTCTGGCAAACCAGACTTCACAAGGTCAGCACCTGACGTCCCAGCTCCCGCCACGATGCCCATGCTACAGGGGAGGACACCAAGGCTGCAGAAGCAGGACCCGGGCCAGGACCAGGCCATGAGCACTGTGCGTTTGGCCTTAAGTTTTGTCCCGTCTCCTCACTCCGAAGTCTCCAACCTCTGGGAGGCCTGAGTGGCTTTCCCTTCTGCCTGCCCTGAGCCCTAACTCTGCCCCAAGTAAAGCAGCATTCGGAGCTGCCCTGGGACCCAGGTTGGTGTCCCCTCTGCTCTCCCTGACCAGGCTGTGAGCTCTGGAGGGCAAGGCAGCCGCCAGCTGGCTCCTGGGGCCCAGAGCAGGTGCCAGGACAGTCTGGGCAAGCAGAGGGGCTTGTTTCTTTGGGCTGCGCATTGTCTTCCACCATCTCGTCTTTCAGAAATGTGTGGTCTGATAACAGATCCCTGCACTGTGTATTCAACTCTGAAACCATCCTCCCGGGGGATGGAGGGAGGGCCTCACCTGGCGTGGACAGAATGGAGCGGGCAGGGAGTCTGCTCTGCAGATGGCGGAGGTGGGGCTGGGGGATGGGAGGGTGGCTCAGCCAGGCCAGGAGGTCCTGAGGGTCTCCCACCTGGGTGGGATTCAGGGCTCTCCAGGCCCACCATCCTCACATCAGACCCCGCCCCCAGGTATGCAGGTGAGCTTCCTCGTGTGGACCCAACCCAGCCTTTCCTGGGAGCAGGCTGCACGTGAGAGGCTGTACCCATGAAACACTCACTCCTCATCCCCCTCCCCTGAGCCCCTGGCACCTTCCATTCTGCTTTTGACCCGATGACAAATCCCCTGTGAGTGGGACTCCTCTAGGGACCCTGTGTAGGTGGAATCTTGTGGTCTGTGTTCTTCTGTGCCTCGCCGAGTTCATGAGCATAATTCCCTCTGGGACGCCCCCGCTGTAGCATGTGTCGTAGTTTCCCTCCGTTTTTGGGGAGTAATGTGCATTGTGTGACGGGCCACCCATCCGTCCCCCGATGGGCACATGGGTTGCCTCCACCTTTTGACTAAGGATGCTGCTGGGAACATGGGTGTGTGTATGTATCTGTTTGAGTCCCTGTTTTCTGCGCCTCAGGATATGTACTCAGAAGCTCAGAGCGTTTTAAACATTCATTTGTTTGCGTGTTGTCAGCCTTCCTGAGTAGAACACAGGGGCTCCAGGGAGGAACTGTTTCTATTTCATGCACTGCTGTGTGCCTCGTGCCTGGGAAGCTGCCTGGCTCCATGCATACTTGTGGAGGGGTTCATGGAAGTCACCATTAACCCCTCCACCTTAGCGACACAGTGGGGGACCTGGGTCCTGTAAGCTCCTCGAGGTGGCCGAGCCAGGCCGGGCATCCTCAGTCCTGCAACTCTGGCACCTGCCCACCAGCATCTGCCTGCCGGTCATTTCCACCACCTGAGCCATCCGTCCTCCTTTGATTAAGTCTCATTTTGCCATGAAAAGAAAAGGAGGTGACAGTTGGCTTGTGGGGGAAGGTCATTCATTCCAGAAAGGAAATTGGATAGCGGCGTCTCCATCGTCCACACACGGCCTCTACTCCCGACAAACTCGCTCTCCTGCCCACTGCCCGCCTGCCCGTCCCCCGCCGTGGGCAGCAAAGCTGGTGTCAGGCAAGACAGCCTACACCCAGCCTCTCCTGGCTCTCATTAAACAGGCAGCTCTGGACGGATCAATGCAAGCCAAACGATGACCAGTTGTGGCCAGCAGTCCTTGAACGTGCTCGCCGTCCTCTTCTCGTTGCTGTTTTCTGCAGGTAAAACCTCCATGGATGCTGGGGGTGGGGGCGGCATGAGGGGGTGTGGTCTCTTCCTGAGGTTCGTGCTGGCCCATCTGGGGTTCTGGGGACACACAGGGGCTTGCCGTTTGTCCTTCACCTTACTGGCACCCCTCTGGCGAGCAGCTAATGTTGGTTGCTGTGTGGCTGGTCTCTGTCTGTCTCTGTCTCTCTGTCTCTGTCTTTCTCTCTGCTCTGCACCGCAGCCCTGGGACTTCCCATGGGAGCTCAGGTGGCTGCCAGCAGCCCTGGGAGAAACCCTGACTCGCATTCTGTCCTTCTCCCCTGCAAGACAAAGTTAGGCAGTGTCCCAGCCATCCCATCTTTCAGATGAGGAAACTGAGGCTTGGAGAGGGACCTGACTCACCTGGGACAAGGCAGTTAGCAGATTCCAGCCCAACCAGCCTCCTGGGCTGTCCCTGGGAGCCCAGCTTAGATCACAGGTGGGCTCCTGCTCTCCCAAGTTCAAGGATGGGCACAAACTAAGTCCTCTGCTCCTCCCAGCTAGAGCTGAGAGCCCCGGTTCAAGGGCAGCCCTGCTCCCCAGCCCAGGCCTGCTCCCAGCAAGGAGCCCCGCCCTGGCTCTCCGGCTTCCTCTCCCTGGGTCTTTCTGTGTCTCTGGGACTCTGTCTCTTGGTGTCTCCTTGTCTATCTCTCTGTCTGTCTCTGTCTCTCTGTGTCTCTGTCTGTCTCTATCTCTCTGTCTCTGTCTATCTCTCTCTGTCTCTGTGTGTCTGTCTCTGTATCTCTGTATCTCTCTCTCTCTGTGTTTCTCTCTGCCTTTGTCTCTGTCTGTCTCTGTCTTTCTGTGTCTCTGTGTGTGTCTCTATCTCTCTGTCTTTGTCTCTGTCTCTCTGTGTCTCTGTGTCTGTCTCTGTCTGCCTCTGTCTTTTTCTGTCTCTTTCTGTCTCTGTCTTTGTGTCTCTGTCTGTCTCTGTCTCTCTGTCTTTCTCTGACTCTGTCTTTCTCTGACTCTGTCTTTCTGTCTCTGTTTCTATCTCTCTGTCTCTGTCACTGTGTCTCTCTCTACCTCCTCATGCCTGCATGCTCTCACAGGGTCACTGACACCGGCCTGGTGGTTTTCAGCCCCTGCCCCTTTGCGGGGGGCAGCTCAGAGGGAGGCTATGAAGGTGTCTGGGGGTGCTTGGCAGGGCTCCCCAAACAGCAAAGCCAAAGCCACACTCAGGCCAGGGGTCTGGGGGCCCCCCAGCTGCTCTCCCCACCCTAGATGCTTTCCCTGCTTTGGCTCACCTGGTCCTCACCGCCCCTGGAGGATGGACCCACTCTGCCCATTTTACAAATGAGGAAGGTGAGATGCTCAGAAGGAAGGTGGCCTCCCTGAGGTCACCCCTTCAGGGGAGGGGCCAGCCGGTGAATGAAGGCGAAAGGGAGGGGCCAGTCGGTGAATGAGGGTGAAGGGGAGGGGCCAGCCGGTGAGTGAGGGCCATCCAGATGCAGGAGTTACGTGGAGCGGTGCACACAGGGGTGCATTCATGGTTGAGGCTTGGGGGCCCAAAATGCAGCTCTCTCCAGGTTCGCTCATGGTTGAGGCTTGGAGGTCCGAAATGCAGCTCTCTCCTTCACATCCCTGCTCTGCTGGGGCCTCCTAACAGGGTGTCCTTCGGCCTGCAGTCACACCGTGCCCCAGAGCAGAAGCCCAAGGATGCTGCCCTTTACTGCCCCTAGTGCCCCTAGTGCACGCACAGCCTCTTTCTCTAGGTGGGGGCTGCGCCTTGCTGTTTATGCTCCCAGGAGCCCCCAACCCCCCTTGGAGACCATGAGTCTTTCATCAGTGAGGGGAGGAGGTGAGAGAGTTCACGATGGCCCAGGCAGCCTCATGCCAGGACTCCCACCCGTTCGTCCTGGCTCCCAGCCCAGGGCTCTGTTGGCTCTGGGGAGGCCTCATCATTACCAAATAACCAAAGCCTGTGGCGCTGACTGCCCAGCGGTGGCCGGGTGAGCTGGGTGCTGGTAATGGGCAGGACCCTTCCACATCCCCTAATCTCACTGAGCCTGCCCTCCCCAGCCCCCCATCTCTGCATATCAGGCTCCTCCCAGTTCCTAGAGGCCCAGCTCAAAGGCCACCTCCTCCATGCTGCCCTACCACTCTCTCCCTTCCCTCCCTGAGTCCTGTGGTAGCCTCACAGGCTGGTCCCACCTGAGCTAGACTTTCTGACCAGCAGCATGAGTGTTCTGGTCCCTCCCCAGATGCCCACACACTGAGCGTGAGCAGGGCCTCCTCACTGACCTGGGCAGTGACCCAGACAGTGTCCGGAACTGGCCAGCTGCCTCTGCCCCTTGCTTCTAGGCCACTGGGTCCCAAACCCAAGGCCATCAGCATCCCCTGGAGGGCTTGCCAGGACAGATGGCGGGGCCTACCCCAGAACTTCTGATGCAGAAGCCCAGGGGCCTGAGAATCTGCATTTCTGACAGTCCCTCCAGGGATGCCCTTGAGGCCAATCAGGGGCCACACTTTGGGAACTGCTGCTCTGAGGCACAGTTTTCTCCTCTGTACGATGGAAATAAATGAGATGGAGTGAGACAGTTGTCTAGTTGGGGCTCCCTTAATAACCTCCACATCCCAGAGGGGGTCTTGTTCTTTCTTAAGGTTGAGGATGAGAAGGGGGCCTGGAGAGCTCCCCTGGCTCCCAAAAAGCTGAGACCTTTCTCTCACAGTGGTCTTGCCCATCTCCACAGAAGAGGGTGCTGTCTTTGGGGGAAGGGGCATGGAATTTCATGTCCCCCACCCCCAGGCAGCCTCAGCACCCCGGTGCATGAAGGCCGCCTGCCCACCTGCCAGCCCAACCCCGCTGGGACTCCCCTGCAGCAGCCCTGGGTGGGCAGGCGGGGAGCTGTGTGGGCTGCAGTCTAATAACCTCTCAGCAGACACAGAGCTTTCAATGAGCTGGAGGAGCTCCTGCAAAACCACTGCCTTTGTGGTTGAAGGAATGTATTCAGTCAGCAAAGCCCCTTTCAGTGATACAAATTAGATACAACGATCTCTTTTATGAAGATACTAATTAAGCCTGAGACAGTGGGCTCTAGGTTTTTTCCATTGTTATATTTGTTCAGACTTTCAATCCTGTTTATCACCATCGGCAAGACTCGTAAATACCATCCTGGGTTTGCAGTAGCATTGGTGGCTGAGCAGAGGGGTGGGAGGGTTCCAGGCCAGGGCGAAGCTACCACCATGAGGTGGGGGTGACTGAGGCAGGCCCTTGGGGACCTTGGGACCTAGGGTACTAGTTTAGTAGAAACCAAGGAACAGAGGGCCCGCTGTTTTTGACACAAGAGGCACCCAAGAGGTCCTTGCACCTATGCCAGCCACCACCCAGGCCAGCCTGGGCTTAGCAACAGGTCCACCATGGCCCACCTGGGAACAAAGAGCTAGCGATACAAGACTGGAGAGGGCCCCAGACTTTGAATCCAGGTCTGAGTTCCATTCCTGCCCCTCCAACACTTTTCAGCTCGGGCAAGTCACCTATGGTCTCTGAGCCTCAGTTTCTCCATCTGTAAAGTGGGATCTCAAACTGGCTTGGCTGTGTGAGTTAAATGAGATGGGTCTGTGAAGCACACAGTAGTTGCTCAGTTAAGGCTGATTTTCTAATTGAGTGGCTGCTGCATGTCAAGCATGTTCACCAAGGCAGGAGAGCCAGCCATGCCTTCCAGGACCCCCCCAGTCTGGGTGACACAGAGAGTGTAACCAGGGCTGGGAGGCTGGGGGTAATGGGGACCCGTAGGTGAGGTTCACAGTGGACCACAAAGGCGTCCAGGGAAGGGAAGAAGCAAGCAGGACCCGAGAAGAGGCCAGCCAGTTCCCCTACCTCTTGGCACCCATGGACTGGCAAGGGACCCCTCTGAGCCTGGTGACTCTGTCTTCCAGTCTTGTCTGCACATTTCCGGGTCTGTGAACCGTACACAGACCACAAAGGCCGCTACCACTTCGGCTTCCACTGCCCCCGGCTCTCGGACAACAAGACCTTCATCCTCTGTTGTCACCATAACAACACGGTCTTCAAATACTGCTGCAACGAGACGGAGTTCCAGGCGGTGATGCAGGCAAACCTCACGGCCAGCTCTGAGGGTTACATGCACAAGTGAGTACCACACTGGGGGTGCAACCCCACTGCCTCAGGCTCCAGGCAAGGCAACCTGCCTCCCAAAATCCTGTCCCCTGGGGAGGCAGTCGGGTAACCACTATAAGGTTGGGTGAGCCTGGAAGGAGTCTGGGAGAGTCTTTGAATGACCAGGGCTTTTGGCCCATTGTGCCTTCTAAGCTTCAGCCTTCTCATCTGAGAAATGGACACAGAGGCTGGGCGCAGTGGCTCACACCTATAATCCCAGCACTTTGGGAGAATGAGGTGGGTGGATCACCTGAGGTCAGGAGTTTGAGACCAGCCTGGCCAACATGGTGAAACCCCATCTCTACTAAAAATACAAAAATTAGCTGGGTGTGGTAGCAGGTGCCTGCAATCCCAGCTACTCAGGAGGCTGAGGCAGGAGAATCACTTGAATCCAGGAGGCGGAGGTTGCAGTGAGCAGAGATGGTGCCATTGTACTCCAGCCTGGGTGACAAGAAAAAGAAAAGAAAAGAAAGAGGGAGGGAAGGAGGGAGGGAGGGAGGGAGGGACAGAGAATATTCACTTTGCAGGGTTATCACATAAGCTAAGTGAGGTTAAGGATGTGGAAAGCTTTCAGGTGTAGAAGGCGCCTGGGCCTGTAATCCACTGGGTTCCTTCCTTCATTTTTCATTAATTTAACAAATACTGATTGACACCATTGACCCAGAGATTAATCCCATGCAGTTCTTTTCCTTAAGGTGATTAAAATATGTTTGGATCAGGGGTCTGATGGAGGGGAGCACAGGAGTGGAGAAAGAGAGAGTTTGCTGGTAGAAAAGCAATGAGAACATGCTACGTAGAGTCAAGTAGTTTCAAAACAGCATGCATTTCTCTATTTTGAGTGAAGCTGGCCATCTTTTCACATGCCTGAGAGACATTTGTATTTCTCTTACTGTGAGCTAGCCGTTTATGTCTTTTGTCATTCTTCTATTGAATTTTTGGTCTTTTTCTTATTTATGGGTGCTTTTCACATATGAAAGAAATATGAGTTGCAAACATCTTCCCATCTTCTCTTTGTTGAATGTTTCCATACAAATGTTTCTTCAGTGTGACTTTGACTTTATAATGCTTTTCCTCATGCTTAGTTTTTGTTATGTAATCATATTTTATCATTTTTTTTTCTTTTATGGCTTCTGGCTTTTGCATCATGTTAAGAAAGACTTTTCCTGCTCTGAGGTCATTAAAAATGCCACCATGTTTTCTCCTAATTATTTTACTTTTTAATATTTTGTCTTTAAGTAGTTGAACTATCTAGAATTCACTCTGATGAAAGTGTTAAAGTAGAAATTAAACTTTATTATTCTTTTTTCAAAATGGGTAGCTGGTTATTCCAACACCATTTATTAAATTGGCCATCTCTTTTCCCCCGATATGAAATGCAAACTTACTAAATACCTTAATATACTAAATCTGAGTATTGAGGTAGGGTGTGATATGCACTGGGCTTCTGTTGTTGTGGTTATACACTAGTACCTCACTGTGTTAACCACTGTGACTTTTAATATATTTTAATGTCTTAGTGGGCTCCTGCTGGAACTTCTGTCATACAAACTTTAGAATTAGCTATGTAGTAACCTTACCTCCCCCCCAAAAAATCCAGTTAGTATATTTTATTGAGATTGTATTGAATTTGTAGGTTAATCCAAGGATTGACTTTTTATGATGTTGAACATTTCCATACAAATGTCTTTCCATTTGTTCAAATTTTCTTTCATAGCATTTTAGAGTTTTCTTCATATAGATATTAGACATATTTTGCATTTATTTTGAGTTATTTCTTTTTATGTTGCTATTGGGTCTTTCCTTCCAGTATATCCTCTGAGTATTGTTAAAAGCAATGATTTTGAGATAGGAATTTTGATAAAAGCAATGATTTTGAGATAGGAATTTTGCATTCAGCCACCTTACTGAAATTTCTTATTTTTTTTTTCAGTTGTTTCTCTTAGGTTTCCAATTATTCCACTTGTAAACAATGATAATTTTATTGCCCTACCTTGCCATTTTTGTGCCTCACTTCTTTTTCTTGTCCAATTGTGTTGGCTAGTGCCTCTAAAAGAGTCTTTAGAATTGTCAGGCTTCTTATCTTCTTCTGATTTTAATGTGATGCTTCAAATTATTTTCCCAATAAGCATGAGGCTGAGTTTGGGGGAAGATGTCTTTTTTCATGATAAGGAAAAATCTTTTTGAAAGGGGCGTTTGTTGAAGGGAGGGGGTGGGTTGCGAGTGTGAGCTTCGATCTCTGTCTGATGTTGGGGCTGAAGGACTTTGCCACCGTGCTGCATTCACTCAGGGGGAAGCCGCCTGTTCCAAATCTCCCCACCTCCCACCTAGGCCAGCTCCCCAGCCTTTTCCTTCCTCAAACGCACGGGTGCTTCCCCTGAATCTCTCGCCATCTGCTCAGCCCTTAGAATAATTCTGTGTGTGAAGTCACTCAGCAAGCCCTGTCCATCATATCAGGGCTGGAATCAGGTCTGGGATTTGACCCAAGCCTTGTATAAGACAAGGAACGGATTCCCTGAGAGAGGAGGGTAGTGCCAGGACTGGGGTGAGGACCCTGTCATGCTGCAAGTTCTGGCTGAATGCCAGACAAGGCTTGGCAACACATCCAGACTTCTCCAAGGTCTGGTGACTGGTGTCTGGGATCCTCATTTTGAAGCCCACAAGTTTCTATAATCTGCATATTTGCACAGGATTTCACACGGAACACTCCACTCCAGCAGCGCAGGGGGTCCTGGCGGCTGCTGACGAAGAGTTGGGCTGCAGAATGAAGGCCTTCCCCTGGGGAGAATGGGAGTATTGCGGCTCAGAATTTTAACTTATGTTTTTAATCTTTAGCCCTAGAAAGTGTTTATGGAGCGCATAATGTAGCTGAGTCTCTGTGCTCAACCTCATGCCACTGCAGCTACCTGGCAGCCCATCCTCAGCCCATTTTACAGATCAGGAAGGGGAGGCACAGAGTAGTTGAGTCACTTGCCTGATGAAGGCAGTGGTTAGTGGTGGAGCAAGCAGCCAACCCAGATGGTCTGGAATCACTTTAGTCATTCTGGAGCTTCTACCCACAGAGGCAGATCCTACTGAGGAGAGACCACCTGAGCAGGGATCCCAGCACCACTGGCATTTGGGGCCAGGTCATCCTCCATGGGTGGCCCACTCTGTGCATTGTGGGATGTTTAGTAGCATCCCAATGGCCTCCACTGAACCAGTGCACCTCCTCCCCACCACCCCAGTGATAACCGGCAGTGACTCCTGATAGTGCCAAATGTGGGGGCACAGAATCATCTCCAGTTAAGCTGCTGCCCTGGGGAGATCCCAGCCCTTGTCATTCTCCAGCGATCTTCTCGTCACCTTCCCTCTCCATAGCTGTGAGTGTGGAGCCCACACAGAGGAGGACGCAGCTCCTGCTCCTCCCCCAGGCCTCTCCTGTCATAGATGTTCCTGCAGAGGGAGGCGTGGTACTTGATTCTTGAGATCTGACAGTGTTTAAGAAGGTGGGAGCCCCACAGCCTGGAGGAAGGAGCACTTTTGGGCAGAATTCTCTATAGCCCAGTGGAAGAGCAAGGGGAACCAGGGGAGAAACAGCTGGTGAGGGCAGAGGGTCCTGTCTAGCCTGGGGGGTACAGTACATAGACTTTCTTCTGAGGCCATCAAGGGCCCCTGGAGGGTTTTATCTGGCTTTGTGCTGCATGGGCCGTGCCTGAGATAAGGCCCCAGAGGACCTAGGGTGTCTGCAGGAGCAGGACCCATGAGGGTGGCCTAGGCCAGACCTGGACCCCACTGAGGGGAGATCAAGAACTCGGGTGGGCCATGGAAGCCTCTTCCCAGCTGCCCAGTTTCAAGAACCTTGGGGAGAGGACCCAAGCCCAGGGAGCTGAAGTAGGGCCTGGTGTCCAGGTGGGGCTGGACTGGTGGCAGAGGATGACCTGAGGATGAGCGTTGGGGCGCAGGATGCAGGGCTGAAGTCCCGGGTCATTGAATGGGTAGGAGGGGGCCTATGTGTGCAAGGGGACCCAGATAGAGTCCACCTCTGTGCCTGCCCTGTGCTTTGGGGCTCTGGCTACACGATATCACAGGCTCCTCTAGGCAAGACACATATGGTGCCCATTAATCCTCACCATGGGAGGAAGAAGGGGCTGGGGCCCAGGCTGGGGAAGTCACCTGTCCCAGACCACATGGGTGATAACAACTGGTGTCAAGATCTGAGGGGCTCTTGAGCCCTGGTTCTGCCACCCCTTGGTGCATCTAGAAGGCCAGGACTTGTGTGTCATTGGGGACTGCACCAGATCCCAGCTAAGAGGCTGTATGTTCCAGTATCCTAGACAGATTAGCACTCCCCAGCAGCCAGTCTAGATGGACCAGGCCAATGTGACTCCCGGGAGGGGCTTTATGCAGATGTGAGAGCTCCTGGCCCTCCCCCATCGCCCCTCCTCCCCCACCCCCGCCCCTCCACAGCCCTCCCTGCTGGCGAATCAGCCAGAAGGCGGGGCTGGTGACAGGGAAAAGGAGAGCGCTTCTGATGACTTATTTATTTGTATTTTTCTGGAGGAACAGAATGGTTTGTTTTGGTTCTGGCTGCCTGGCAGGAAGGCAGAGCGAGAGGAAGCAGCTTCGCCAAGCCCACCACCACGGCGAGATGCCCGCTTCCAGCCACGTGGGCCATAGAGAGACTGCAGAGAGAGGGGTGGGGCAGAGGCCCGGACATGGTGAGACGCGTACTGCACTCCTTCCCGTGCCAGGGCACCGCCAGACACCAGCAGTGGCGACTCAGGCCCAGGTCCCTGAACGATCTGTGGAAGCCTCTGTGTGGGGGTCGTGGTGGGCCAGGGCGTGCAGGGGATGTGGTCAGTTCTCTCTGGGGACAGGGAAAGTCTATCTGGAGGAGGTGGCTGGGAGTGGCATCTCCCACAATGCATGGGTGTTCCTTCACCAGGCAGGTGGGCCGCAGCGGGTGGGAGGTGGGGAGGGACTCTAGGAAGACA